GTCCAACTCAGTTCCACTGATTTCAGTGGAAGCTTTAGCCTTGTTTTCATGGGGCTCTTTGTCAAACCTAAATATAAAATATTCTGACAGGTCAAAGTTAAGGCTGTTGGGTGGTAATGAAAACAGCATTTTCCTCCTTGGTTACATGGACAAGATGTGATGGCTGTGCAGTCACAGCTGTTTGTCTCATGGCTGTGACAAGCCTGTACGGATGCTGTCACTTAGCAACCATTGGCATTTGTGTTTTAGCTACAGCTTTTTTGTTGTTGGCACATAATGAGAGGTGTAATCACAAGATCAGTCCCATCAAGGGTGTTTGGTTTTGAAAGCAATGGACTCCAGGGCTCACCTGTGTCCCTGGGCAGCCTATATAAATCGGAAGAATTTCATGTGTGTTGGCTAATGCAGCTTAATAAGGGCTTTTTTCGAGCTGGCTTGGGTGGGTCAAGTTGTGTTTCAAGATACACAGCCTGGATTCACCAGCTGCCAGACCTGGCTCTGCAGCTGCTTCGTGCTGGTCGTGAAAGGGCTGGTGCCTTTGGTTCGAGGCCAAAGCTCTGAGCATATCGTGGTGAGGGACCAGCCAAGGCAAAACTTGGTGTACCCAGGCACAGCAGCACTAGCTCCCTGTGCCTTCGACTGACTCAGACTGGAAGCTCAGGGAATACATGGGACTGGAAATAAGAAGACTAAGAGTTCATGAAATAGGAGAAGTGAAGATCTGAATGAATATCTTTCTCTTAAGGGTAATTCCCAACTGAAAAGGAGTGAAAAGGGGCAAACTTAGTAGGGTTCAAGCCCTAACACTGCACAGATGCTGTTTAAGGTTGTGGTTTTTCTTTACACCTGGTCTGGCCTAACCAGGCAATGTGCACCCTCGGGCCCAGGCAGCATGTTCCTGGCCTTGCACGGGGTTTGACAACTGGGCAACTGCAGAATGAGGTGTGAGATGACTTGCTTTGGATGGCTTTGTTTTGGGAGCAGCTTTGTTAAAGGTGCCTTTGCAGCCCTGTTATAGATTTATGGTAAATAAGCACATCAAGTTACTGTGCCCTAAGCAGACTGAGTTTCGATATTTATTATGGATAGAAACACTTTAATAATGCTGTAACTGACACAGTCGTGTAATTGCAGCTGCAGTGCTGCAGGGACTCCTGGTGAGGGCTGCTCCTTTCCCCTTCCATCTGGGGGTGAGTTCCAAGTGTACCAGTGACGGGTGTTTGCAGAGCCCTGGGTGATTTCATTACAGCTCCACATCCCCAGTGTTGTTCCACCTTGTTCACAGACACACTGCTGCTTTGAAAGAAAGCTTTTCCACTTCTGTGTGCTGGCTTGCAAGGTCACAGGCAAGACCTGTCCTGTCTGTGGAGGAGCGTGTCTGACAGGGGCTGAGGTCTGGCTGTGCTAGTGGTGCTTTATTTCTCAGCAGAGGACAGAAACCACTGCTCTAAAAGGAAATGATGCAGGTTATGGGGTGCTGCCACTGTTTTTCCATTGTAAACTGCTGAGCATTTCTGCAGTGAAACTGGTGGATGAGTTTCCTCTCCAACACACAGTGGTTTTTGGAAGCTTTGATGCATATGTATTGAAAGGTAGAGCAAATTTTATTAGGGATGGACAAAAGAAGTTGCAAAGAATATGCATGAGTTCGTCTGTAATCACAGGTCGCATATGTCTGAGCTAAACCAACAACTTTAGACATTTATGGCCCATTTTTGACTAAGCTGTGCCAACAGTATAATTAGGCAAAGAATATTATTTGGATTTTAAATGTTCAGCATATTAAAGCAGAAATTGAGAGCCATTCTTTTGGCAGCTTTTATAAAGCCATTGCTAGTGCAGGGCTGAGCCAAAGGTGCTTATTCTCTCCCATGTCTGTCTGAGCTGAGCAGTTAAAGGATAAATCCTTTCTTCAGAATTTTGTTGAAAGCAACTTCAGGAATTTCATACTTGTGTACAGATCAGGTAATAGAACTTGCATTGCCCCTGTGCAGATAAAGAGCTGAAACAAGCTTTGTAATCCTCTTCTTTTGCAGTACCAGCCATCGGGGACAAATTAATCTGTGAGTTCTGCATTGGTACCACTTGTATTGCCACTGCCTGCTATCTGCAGCCCACATTAAGGCAAATGACAGTCCTCACCCCTGGTGTTTCTTGCATCAAAGGAGGCCCATGACTGGCCACAGCCTTTGCTGAGATCAGCCGTAGTGTGTGCCTGCCTCGGGAGAACTCTTGGTGGTGCCTGCCTCCTGCTGGAACCCTACACAGTGCAGCACTGACGGTGGGAAAGAGCAGTTTCCACAGAAATCCAGCCCAAAATGGCATCTTTGAACTTTCTCCCGTGTTGATAACAGGGGCAGCCCACCTCCTTCCCTGCTGCTGGGAGCCCTCAGCGTGTGGCAGGAGCGAGCTGGTGTGGAGAGCTGATGGAGCGACCACTGTTGTGTTGGGAAGTGGTGGAGGGGCAACACCCCTTGCTGAAGTGAGTGCTCATGATGCATGTGGGGGCAGCAAGTCTGCTTCTCAGGGCCGTCTCCTTGAGAGATAAACCTTCCCCCGAGGTGCACCACAACCCCAGCTCCTCGGCAAGACACACCACGTGGTGTAAATCGTAACCCAGCAGAGCTGTGTGGCTGGGATGAGGATCTTGGGGAGGTGCAAAAGCAACATTGGTAAGTAAGCAGTGGGCTGAAAATGAGTTAGCAGTGTAAGTAAGCAGGGGAGGGCTTGTACAAGTGTGCAAAGATGGGCACCCCAGAGAGGGTATCCCAGCATGATGGATGATTCACATTAGGAGCTGTTGGCATATGTTTACAAATTTGGTAGCTCACAAACTCCCACTGCCATCATCTTCGGTAGAAAGAAATGTAGGTTTTATTCTGCTTTCATCCCCCTTAACCTCTCTAGTCCCTGGCATTTTTTCCTCACACTGCTCAGATGTTTAAGACCCCTCATGCTTCTCCCAACTACCAGCTGCAGGATGTCAGTGCAAGCATCTGTGTTGGTAAGACTCTACTGTAACTGGAGTGGCAGAGAAAAGAAAGTAAGGCAATGTATGAGCTCAGGAGAGAGAAGTACAGAATCAGCACTGAGTCACCTAATTGCTGGAGGTGGAGACCTGTTTGTAGTAAAAGATGAAAGGAGTTCTTAATTCCCCTTCCAAAGATAAGGAGCCCTCCCTGTCTGTTGTGCATATGGGTTTTAGTGTACAAGCATCCTGTGTATAAACAAGACTTGGGACTGCAATTAAGCAAAAGGAAGTTAAAACTTTTTACAATGTCAGCATCACCCCAGCTGATTAAAAATAAAATAATCTGTTAAAAATTAATAGGTCTGGGAGTCCAGAGACCTTGGTAATAAGCAGTGAGTTTCCCTTCTGTATCAAGTCACTTTTTCCATTTTCTAATATTTGAATAATTCCTTGGAGTCTCCTAAACTGCACAAGCCTGAAATCATGATAATTCTAGTGCTGAATGGGAGGAAGATGTTTACCCAGCAACCTGCTGTCTCCTTCCCTGAAGCGTTATCTGACCTACTACCAACACACAATGCTGGTTTTGGAACCATAATCCCTTCAGCAGACAGGATTGCTAGAACTCTACAAACAATCCACACCCCTTTAGAAGCAAACCCCTACTCTCTCTCTAACCCTTTCAATTTCTGAGAAAAACATGGTGGCAGGAAAAGGCCTGATTTTTAATATCTTCTGGCAGGTGTGGACCCTGCTCAGGTAGAATTGTCAGAAGCAGAGCTGATTTCTCCCAATAACAGCTGCTGGTACAACACCCAAGGGCTCTGTCACACAGAGCTGTGCACAGAGCAATAGGGAAGAGTGCTGACTTCATTAAAAGGCAGAGTAAATCTCCAACCTCAGCAGCAAGAAATTCAAAATCCATCTCACCCAGCTGTACTGCTGCAGAGATGATCTGTGATGGGGGTTGTACAAGTTCTTCCCCTGCATGAGATGTCATAGCCCACCTTAGCCTAAAGTGAGCGTGGTGTTCCTGGTGTTCCTGTCTCTACACAGGCTGCAGGATAAAGGCTGCTAAGTAAAACTGGTGCTGGAAGGAAATGCAGCCTGGTTTGACTTACTGGTAAGTGTATTTTTATTTTTCTTTCTGGGTTTCAGAAAGCTTCTTAGCACATGACAAGACATGGAGCAGAGTCTTCCTCGAGGTTTGTAAATAAAAATTAGCAATCTTTTTTTTTTCCTCAGAAAAAGTGTTGCCATTTGCTCTATAGCTGCTGTTTTCCAATTGTTTACCCAAGCTAAGCATAGATGTGTTTTATCATGAAAAAGCTGCAGATGTGAGTTTCTCTTATGAGCTAGAATCTATCCTAGTTCTATAGGAATGGACAATAGGAGCACTTGAAAAATTCAGCAAAATGGACCTGCCTCTGGCTTCAACCAAACAGAAAGTCAGCTTTTTAGTGTGACTGTTGAAATCAAACAGGTACCCCATCTATAGAAGAAAGTTTGTAATGTTAAGGATGACCAGCTTTTGACTTCTTAAATACAATCTTTTGCTCTAGACATCAAAATGCAATAGGTAATCAGAGAACTCTGGTTTTAGAATGGAGATATGGACAAGGTCAAAACAAATGTCCCTTAAAACCAGTCTTCATCAGCTTTAACCACTCTGGCTCTAAAAGCAGCATGCAACAACTTGCTTTCAGTCACTGTTTTGTTTTTAAAAATGTTTCCTTATGTAGGCATGATCTGGAGTTTTCTTAAAAGACAGAACCCTTCAAAAAAGAACAAATGCACTTAATGTTTACTTAGAAAAACAAACCACTTTATTGAAAATTTCACTTTTTAACAAAATATTTGACAGTGTTAAAGCAAAGATTTTGTGCCCTATTTAACAGCTAACCCATTCTTTTCACTGTAATGTTTCTTTTTATCCTCTCAAGAAAGACTTCATGACAGGTAGCAGAAAAAATACTCTCCTCCTGAAGAAAACTGCTTAAGCACTGCTCCCTCAGAGCAAAAGAAGTCTTCAGTAACAGTCAGCTTCATTATCCTCTGTGGTCCCCACAGTAGCAAGGATGTCCTGTAAGAGGGACTGAGGGCTCCTCTCCACATGGTCACTATATCTGTTTAGCTCAACATATAGCTTTATTATGTCTATTGTACCCAAAGCTAGCATCATGCTCTCTGGATCTTCAAAATCCACTCCATCTTTGGGCAAGCTCTGGGCCAGAGAACCCTGCCTTAGTGTCCTTTCTAACCAGGCAATGCTGTGTCCTGTGGGTAAATCTACAGTCTTGTCTAAATCCTCTGGGACACCACATGGGTAGAAAACACCACGTAAGGTCACCAGTATCTGAGAGGCTTTCTCACCTACCGGCTGGTCGCAGTCACACAGAGACCAGAACACAAAGCTGAACAGTTTTGCTCGGCACAGTATCTGCAGTGACTCTTTTCTGTGGACAGAACTAGTGACTGCAGGTGAGGCAGGATCAGCTGGGCACTTGGGAAGGCCAGGATGGCGAAACACCTGATGACAGAAAGCTTCAATCAGTTTCAAACCACCAAGTCTGACTTCCCAGTCTAAGTCATGCTCCACAGTCTGGATCACACTAGAGACAAACTGCCCTGTATCCTCCAGCTGACCAGTACAGCCCTGGTTCAGCCACTTGCTGAAGATGCTGATCACAGCCCTCCTAGGAAAGCCCTCTGGGTCCGTTGACAAGATCTCTTGAAGCTTTGCTACAGTGTTCTAAATGCAAAAAGACACAGAGAAAGCACAATGAGGGGAGGGACAAGCAAAAAAACAAGACCAGTGGATGTAAAACTATCTATTCTTTTAATTATTAGTTGTGAAATCTGCCTGAGACTGCAAATAACTTGTGAAGAAAGTTTTAAGTATCACAGCAGTACACTGATGTGTAATTCTGCTTGATTCTGCACTGGGCTCCATAAAGTCATCATACCTCTTTATTATACTGATTCCCCATGACAGATGCCTCTGGGGCAAAGTAAGTAATGAAGGCCAAGTGTCCCACTGCAGTCACGGCACTCGCTCGCACGTAGCTCTCTGGATCCTCCAGCAGATCTTCTGTAAGCCTCGGCACCTCTGAGGACAGGAGGGACTGCCTGAACTCATCCCAGTCTGTAAACAGGACAGCAACCCAAAGAAGTGAGGCTTTATTCTCTCAGAGCACGAAGCTGTTTCCAATGCAAACAGTCCTTTGCGTCACGCAGGGATGCCCACTGACTGCAGGGACAGCTGCCAGTGAGCTGAGCCACTGCAGAGAGCAGGCACTGCTCACAGGAGCACAGACTCCCTGTGTCAGGCTCCCCGTTCTCCAGCAGCTTGGTGACTTTCAGGAAAGCCCTGCTAGACACTAGAACTTGGAAAAATCCATTTACAGTTATTCTAGCAGCAAGAAAAAACTTTCTCCGGGCAAGTGGGGACATGGTTTCAGCCTCAATCAGCTGACACCTCTGCTTCAAGGAGGAAGAAATAGTCTTCCTTTCTTCTTGTCAAAGCATATGGCAAAGAAAGCAAAGGCAGCACTGAAAGGGGCTGCAGGGTAAGCTGCTAATGCAGCTGAGCGTGCTGGATGCTTCCTTTGTGACCTGGGGACAACAGCAGCTGAAAACATCCCCTCTCTCCTGACACTGCAGAGTTCCTGTAGGAGCATTAACATTGCCTTAGTGCTACCTGCTCCAATGCCTGAGCTACCAGCACAGTGGAAAATCAGTAATTAATCCAAAGCAGATCTGGGCTTTTAGCCTCCTGAATCCCAGCCCCCAGCCTGCTGAGTGAAACCAAACAGACTCTGCTGCGGAGCAAACTGAAAAAAGGGAAAGTATCATCTGTCATTAAGTGTGGTCACCTGCTCTGACATACATGTCTCTGTGTATGACTCTCTCAACACCCCTCAGTTTACCTCACCAAAACTGCCATTAAGGAGGGTTCAGCAATTCCAGTTCAACAAAAAGGCAGGATAAGTTTATTAATCTTTGTCAGATTCTGAGATTAAAATCTTGATGCTTCTTTCTTCTCTTAGCCCTCCAGTTACAGGTCAGAGGATACTTCACAAGCCTGACTGACTTCCATGATGTTAAAAGAAATACTGTTAAATCTCTGTACCTACCTCTCAAGTGTTCAATCAGGTCAGTGAGGAACTCCAGAGAAGAATCTCTTACTTCCCAATAAGGACTGCACAAATGCTTCTGCAGCACCAGAAAGATATCTGTAAAAGTCAGGTCAGAAGCTTGAATGAACATGAAAGTCGACAAGCCTTCCTGAAGCAATCACTGTACAAACTCTACAACATTTTATCTGATAGAATCACTTTCCCTGCTGCTCTCTGCTTCTCTGAATTCTTCAAAACACAGCTAAACATACGTGCAGTACAAGTGCAAACAAGTGAATGTTAAATGCTTTGAGCAGGCAAGGTAGGCAAAAGCAGATTTTATATATTCCAGTAGCTGCTGTTGGTCCCAACTCAAATAGTTTCATTACCTTCCAAAATTTTCTGAGTTTGTTGCTGCTGACCATTGGAGCAAGACAGTTCCTGCAAATGCACTGACCACTTGGATGTAGCTTGAAAAGTTTTCTTTAAAACCTGAAGTGACATAAAGCAGATTTACTTTGCTGCAGGAGGAAGCATTGTTGCCTTTATGCTAAATAAAATCTGGTTTAGTCTCCAATCTGCAGAGAAATCCTCAGAGTAAAGTAGTACATAGGCTTCCTTAATAGAAGCATGGCACAAATAATTTGTGCTTATTTAACATTTCTAACAAACCCCTAGAAAATGCCTGTTCTCAGCATAGTATTACAAAATTTTAGTATGTCCAGCTTTTGATTTACACTTTTAAGAGTCATTCAAACAAAGCAAGAAAACTGAACCAAACGAAACCCCTTAATGCAAAGAATTAAATACTTAAGGGCAATGACAAGTTGAGTATGTGGGTGCTGCCCCTAGACATGATAGCTCCTGTCTTTTTAGGAACACTCAACATATTGCCACGTCACTTACTAGAATTTTAGTGATTTCCTGCAAACCACCCAGGACCAAGACAACTCTCCTACATTCTCTAATACAAACTGTGCTAAGAAACAACTATTGTTGGACAGTTTCTCAAAACTACATCCTACTGCAGCAAGCTAATAGACTTAGAGCTCTCCTCAGTTCTGCACTCACAGTGGGGCTGGTGTTTGGATTCCTCAGGTATGCCAGAAGGACATCAAATAGACTTCCTATCAGTGTGTCACAGCCTGAAACATGGAAAACAAAACTAAAGGACAAATAACAAGAGAAGGAGCAGCTGAATCACAGTTTAACTGCTGAAATACAGAAAGACAGAGGATTGTAAAACTGTTTTGGAGAAGGAAGCAAGCACAATCCTCAGAGTAAAGGGGAAACCTCCAATTTCTCCCAACCACTAAAGCCTTTTTAATTACAGTATTACCTGCCCTGATTCATCAACAGAAAGTAAGGTCAGCCAAGACAACAGGAAGAACTGGAAAAAATGAGTAAGTTTCAGAAGCAGAAGTGACTATCTCCATTCAGAAAGATCAGTGTAGGGGAATGAAAAACTCTGCACTGGCAGAATGGCCAAACATTTCCAAAGTGAAAGGAAGGAGTGCAAAGATGAACCCACCGTTTCGGTCCGAGAGTGCCGCTAGGACACCAAGAGCTGCCGTCTGCACCCTGCAGCTGTCGACCAGGATTCGGCTGATGGTGCTTCCCAGAGGAGAGGCTGGGCTCAGCAGCCCACTGCAGAGCTGCAGGGTTGTCAGGAGAGAGTGCAGCAAAGGTGTGCAGGGCAAATCTATTTGGACACGATGCTAATGGGAGTGAGAAAGGAGAAAAAAGTTTCCAGCAGAAGTCCCCAGTGTGCGTGCAGCTTTTGGTCAGGAGGCAGCAAAAACTGCCATTTCTAGTGTTCTGAAAGTACCACCATGCTAATAACAGCAAACAAATTATCTTCCTCTCCCCCCAGAGCTATTGCACAGATGGAAGGAGATTCTTCTTACTTCTTGGGAACACAGTTCAATTGATGTTTTTCACCAGATCAATAATTGCAGCAGAAGTAAGGTATGGCAGCTTGTGAAGATGGATTTAAAACTAAAAGCAGTCCCTCTTTACAAGCCTCAGTATTCCTCTCTTTTCCTATTTGAAATCTACTGTGCTAGATTTCTTTACAATATAGAAGCCCTCGCTGTCAACTCCTTCCCCCCTTCAGTTAATCTCTACTGCAAAAGCCTATAACCAATCTTAACACTGTCTTTTAAGGGCAAATTTGATCCTCAGACTTTTTTCCTTCTCTGAACGTTACCCAAGACAGCAGCTCCTCCAGATGCGTAAGGGTCTGAAACAGAAGACTAGCACAAGATGACTTGGAGGACAGAAGACCTTCAACAGTGACAGGGTCACCAACAGACTCATCCAGCAAACCTAGGGGACCAAAGGAGAGAAGAGCTTGGGCTGTTAGTGAATACAAAGGACTGTGACTTTTAATCAAGATATTCAGTATGATTATGCCTTCAAATCCAACTGTCACTAGGATGCTGTACCTTACCATGAACACTGCTACTGTCCTTGATGATTTCTACTCTTATTCCTCAAGTTTTATCTGCACCAGACACTAGAAGCCCTGGCATGCAGACTAGCCTCTAACTGTTCTATCACAACTGTACCTGTGTATTCCAGAGGCTGGGAGGCTGCTCTCATGATACAGTCCATTGGCTGAAGCAGAACAGTCAGGGCCTGATTCCTCACATCTTGGGGGCTTCAAGGAGGAAACAGCAGTTACAAAACAACAATTCAATTCCTTCCCAAATACCTGTTCCCAAATGCTGAATAGAAAAATATTTTTCATGAAGGCATTTAAACAAGGCAGTAATGACAGAGCAATGAAAGTATTATCACAGCTGAAGCCTTCTTCTAAGTTTCTCTGGCTAACTGAAAGCAGAGGAGAAATGGCTCTGGAGTTTAGAAGCAGCATTATCAAGCTATGCAAATAGAGTGGGATTCTGTGTAAGAGGGCTCAGAGAGGCATTTCTTGTCAACTAAATGGTGTCTTTGTATCTTAAGACACCAATCTATCTTAGCCTGTATATTGGTGTCCATACATGCTGCAATCTGATGATTTCCTGATGCTTTTTCACTACCTAAAGGGGAGTTATAGAGTAGATGCAGACAGACTTCTCAGAGGTGCACAACAAGACAAGAATCTTAAAACTACAAAAGGGCAGATTCCAGCTCGATACACATGAAATATTTTCATAGTGAAATTAAAGTGGTTAAGCACTGCAACAGGTTGCCTGGAGAAGCTGTGGAATCCTCATCCTTGGGGATACTTGAAACTTGGATGCTGAGCAACTTGATCTATGTTTCAAGTCAGCACTGCACTGAGCAAGAGGCAGAATTAGATCACTTCTGCAGATTCCTTCTAGCCAAAGTTATTCTACAACTGCCAACAGAGTCTCCAGATGCACACTTCTGCTGAGCAGAAGTAAAAGCTCTTATGCTAGTCAGTGTTTTTGTGAAAGAGAAAACTGAGCAGACACTACTGGATTTGACAGGCAGTCAAATTGTGTCCTTCTTAGTTAACCTTGGCAGTATAAAGTTAAAAGAGTTTGCTATTGCTACCTGAAATTGGTTGGCTGTAGACAAGATGCCAGTGTATACACACAAACATAATATTTGCTCCTTTCATTTCGTGCTCTTTGAAACTGTGTTATTCTTACTGTCAGTGTCTGAAGTTTGTTAGTTACTGGCACAGTTCTTGCCAGCCAGTCCTACACATAGATGCAGTAGAAAATGCAGTGAGGGGAACGAAAAACAGTTCTTGAAAAGACACCAGTGGTATTAGTACAGATGCACCTGCAGAGTGCAAAAATTTCATTGCAGTAAGTCCTACCATTTGTAGATCTTGAGAAGTCTCACTGCCAAACGACCTACTTGTACTGGGGCTAAGTGTTGCAGAGCAGAAGTCACTAATGTCCAAAAATTGCCTTCAGAGTCACGAATTACAGGGGACCTGAGAAGAAAGAAGTGTAAGTAGCATGTCCTATTAGACAGTGGAAACCAAGCATCTCTCAGCAGTGGATCCAAGGGCCCAGAAGTTCTTTACCATGCCATACTACACAGAAGATTTGCCAGCATGTGCTGTGCTTGAACATTCTCTTCCATCAAAAAGGATTCTATTTGCTTTGCTAGGCTTAACCAAAGTACTTCAGTCCACGAAGCACAGCAGCTGTCAAACAAACTAGTTAATAGTTTTAATGACTGCTCGACGTGAGAGGCAGAGCTGGACCGAAGGGAATCTTCTATGTGCTTTATAATCATTTGGGCACATGCTGGCCAGTCACAGTCCTTTGCACTGACAGGTTGGGTCATCTCAGTCTCTACAGAGAGGGTGAGCATATCCACCAGGAGCTGCCTGGCAGCTGAAGCCACAAACAGGCTGGGATCCTCTTGCAGAGTGAAGACCACGTCAATGCCTCCTGTGTGAAAACAAAACAAGTCACTGGAGGGAAAAACAAAAGCCTTCCTATTGTGAGGTGGAGCCTTGTTGCACTCCAGCCACGTATTATTCCAACTCCAGCACCACACAGATTTAAATAGTGTGGTGGGACTTTTTTATAGTGTTTCCTTTTTTAGTCTCTATGGCATTTCAAAGTCAGCCAGACCTTAACAACAAGCAAACAAAAGAAGAAAGTAAAATTGTTTTCAGATCTTCAGGTGTTTTAATAACTTAGGACTTCAATACAACATTAATATTGTAGAAGAGTTGACATCACACATCTGTATTTGGGGAAGGAGCCTGTGCCATCATCTCTGGGCACAACCAGTAGGAAAAACATGAACTGCAGTGCCAGCCTTACTCTACCATCACACAGACAGCACAGCATGCTGAACCTTACTGTCAATACAGATTTTTAAAAATCTAACCAGGTACTCATTAATCTCTTAAAACACAGATTTTTTAGGCTCCTTTGTGTGTGGGATCTAAAGTTGGTGTTAGCAGCAGAATTCACACACTTGTGTAACAACAACGGGACTGCAAATCTGTGTATTAAGAGATTAATGAGTACCTGGTTAGTTTTCCTGCACTAAAATCACAATGAAACGTACTTTTTAGTAAGAATAACAAAGAAGAATAGAGAGGGATTTAATAAGCTATTTTTATCATTTGTTTCCCAAGATGTGCCTCTTTCCCCTCTAAAAAGGACATCATCTTCAGTGCTTGAAAAACAAAGAAGAAATTACATGCCTAAGGAATTTAAACCCCCACCATTTTCTGGCGACTTCGGTGTTTCTGACAAACGCCTTATTTTGGTTTTAAATAGATGAAAACTCCTGTCTCTACCCTTTGCCATCAGGCTGGCAGGGCAGGGGGAGGGCGGCCCTGGGGGTGTGGCAGCCCTGGAGCACTCACCGCCGTGGCAGAGCAGGCGGAGGGCGGGCTGGTGACACATCATGCTGCGCACGCCGCTCGTCCAGCCGCTCCGCACCGACGCGTCCTCCCACAGCGGCACCGCCCCGCCGAAGAGCCTGCCCAGCAGCTGCTCCTCCTGAGGCCAGAGAACACACAGGGAACGGTAAGCAAAGGGGCTGCAGGGGACTGGAGGGGGTGGGGTGTTCACCCGCGCC